GTAGGTTGTGTGCACAGAGGGAGGTGGGGGAGGGAAGTTACTTCCCATACATTCTCTTAAATGAAATGGAAATGATGTTCTCACAACTTGCAAAGCAATCATCAAGGGTCTTGCCAGCAGTTTTGTGTACTGATGTTGCGCATTGCATCATAAACCAAAGGTACAATGTAAACAGTTTTCAGAATGAACAAAATCATGGTGGTTGAAGGTGGAATTGTTTCTCACTATTGCATTTCGTTTTTTTTGGGTAAATTGCAACTTTACTGATTTTATGTCGCTTTTCAGACGTATTGTATGTTGCGGTCTTTCTTTTTTCTCTTTGTAGAGTTTGGAATATGCAACATATAGCCTGTGAACAGGCTTTCTGTTTGGGTTGAAGGGCAAAAAAGTTGGAAGGAGAGGGAAGGGAAAGGGGAGAGCCTTAAGACAAACCTTTGCTGATCCTCTGTCAGCAACATTAATGTAGTCATTTTTGCATGTAAAAAGCGGGTCGGGAGGCAATACTTGACTTTTACCTGGTGCCAAAATGCTGCTTGTTCCAATGAGTTCTTTCTCTGATGGTAGATTATGTGCTGGAGTGTAAGCTTTGACTGAGCAAAATTGTGGTTTTCCCTCTCTTTTAAAACTGAGAGGTCATGACATGTATACTGATTGTCTGAGGTTATTGTTGTCATTGTTTCTGGTAAGTGTGATTTGCCCTTTGATGCAAGAACATTTTATTTTAGCTCTTTGAAATGTATTTTTGTGGCTAAATAAGCTTATCAGTGATGTGCTAGAAGAAGCCATGTTAAAGATCAAAAGACCTGTCAGTGTTCTCGCCAATAGGAGCTTGCATCAGAATCTGATGCACAGTGGGTGCCGCAAAATAGCAGCCTCATAGGTTTCTCTACTGGCTCTTCCCCTTCCCTTCTTATGATTTTTTTAACTTTCCCCAAACAGAGAGCCTGTACCGTTCACAGGCTATGCAACATAATACATGTATTATAGCAACATAGAGCTGAAACAATCGCCGAAGAGTTAAGATATTGAGAAGTGTTTTGCTGCAAACCTAAGGAAAGTTAAGGCTGCTTTAATGTAAAGAGCTTTCAGCAATGGATGTAATTTGTTTATTGGGCTCATTTGAATTGCGACTTTCAATTAAGGTGTTTACTGATTCCAATAAACGAAGTGAAATTAAATGTTATCACTGAATTGTGAATATGTACACAATGTAAGCTCATATTATAAAGCTCTCTTGAATAGATTTAATTCTGATAAATCTGGCACTTTCTCAAGTAATTGTTATCTCACAACTACTATTATAANCTGCTTGTTCCAATGAGTTCTTTCTCTGGTGGTAGATTATGTGCTGGAGTGTAAGCTTTGACTGAGCAAAATTGTGGTTTTCCCTCTCATTTAAAAGTGAGAGGTCATGACATGTATACTGATTGTCTGAGGTTATTGTTGTCATTGTTTCTGGTCAGTGTGATTTGCCCTCTGATGCAAGAACATTTTATTTTAGCTCTTTTGAAATGTATTTTTGTGGCTAAATAAGCTTATCAGTGATGTGCCAGAAGAAGCCATGTTAAAGATCAAAAGACCTGTCAGTGTTCTCGCCAATAGGAGCTTGCATCAGAATCTGATGCACAGTGGGTGCCGCAAAATAGCAGCCTTATAGGTTTCTCTACTGGCTCTTCCCCTTCCCCTCTTATGATTTTTTTAACTTTCCCCAAACAGAGAGCCTGTACTAAACACAGGCTATGCAACATAATACATGTATTATAGCAACATAGAGCTGAAACAATCGCCGAAGAGTTAAGATATTGAGAATTGTTTTGCTGCAAACCTAAGGAAAGTTAAGGCTGCTTTAATGTAAAGAGCTTTCAGCAATGGATGTAATTTGTTTATTGGGCTCATTTGAATTTCGACTTTCAATTAAGGTGTTTACTGATTCCAATAAACCAAGTGAAATTAAATGTTATCACTTAACTGTGAATATGTACACAATGTAAGCTCATATTATAAAGCTCTCTTGAATAGATTTAATTCTGATAAATTTGGCACTTTCTCAAGTAATTGTTATCTCACAACTACTATTATAATAGTATTCTCTTCACCCGGAAAAATAGATGTATCTATAAAGTTGATCAATTCAATCGATAGTTCAGCACGCATTGTTGTTGGTTAAGAATTTACATTCACACAGTAATGCAGGTAGTGTAGCTGCGATTTTGCAAGGACAAATACGATATGTGAGAAAAACAAAGAGGCATGAGATATATTTTTTCAGTTATTGAATATTATTCTCTTTGCTGGTTCACTTTTCACCTCTGAACTACCACACAAGGGGACTGCTTTGCAAGTTGTGAACGTGTTTTTCAGTCCGTATAGTGTACGATCCCCCCGAAAATTTATGGTTTGAATTTTAAATTCAACATTAGTTTTTGAACCCAACTCTTCTATTTGACCTTGCTCGCTGTGTATTTTGGACTCCCTTCATCAAATTACAGTTACATAGTAGAACTATACAATTTTCAACTCAATGCTGTGAACAAACTATACATACACTGGAGAAATTTTCCTACATTGCTACTTTTCATAAGCTTGAATGTCTGAGCCAATACTTGGTGCATTTTTCCACTTACCGAGTCACATTTCAAACTCGACCATGTATATTTTTAACAAAACTTATGATTTTTTGTTTACACTACAGTGATCATTGATCAAGACCAGGGAGCCCCCACCCCCCGCCATAGAAGCCTTTGTCGGAGTGGGTGGTTCTTTAGTCCATTGTGCTTTAAGCGCAAGTGTTTGCCTGTGCCTTCTCACATGTGTAGTGTTCATTTCAAGTGATCTGTAATGAAATTTGTGATTGTTTGATTTGATCAGAATCTCTGATTGCCTGATCACAAAGACAGTGGCCATAAAAAACAGTCCAAAGACAGTTAAGCTCATTCAAAAGGTATTACTATTAAGGAAAGAAATACACACTCCAGTCAAAAGACTCATATAATCTTTAGAAAAACAATAAGCTAAAGTCTACTAAGTCACAATGCAATTATCTATAGTTGATGCACCTCATTCTTATAATTTTGGAACTTTAAATCCCTACCTGTGATAATTTAAAAACTACTAAACGAGTTAGGCCCAGAATGATACAACATTGCAGAAAGACATTACATTAAAGGACTAGAGAAAATCACTTAAAATATTCCTATCCAAAAGGCACTTTAGAGAAAATTAGAACCCTTATTCAGCCGTAATAAAAAGCTTTATGCTTTAAAAGAGGTCAAAGAAAATGCTCTTGTGTCAGAGGACAAATCCTGCCGACCAGAAACAAAAACCACAGTAAATCAATATGTGTTCCACGACCTCTCAGTGGGATCAAGTGGCGAAAATCACGTTTGTTCAGTGAAATTGTAGAACCTTCCAGAGCATAATCTACCCAGCAGAGGAAAAAAAATTATTGGAACGAGCAACATTTTGGTAGGAGGTAAAAGTCGTTTTAATAGGCCTACCAACCAATTCCTTTTATTGCTGTGCGCTCGATAAACATGCTATGGCGGATCCCATGCCAGCCACGATAGAATCAGGTAAATCCTACTATTTACAGTAGTGCGATTTGAATACCCCACTCAATTCATGAATCTGCCATAATCACCAAGCATGCAAAGAAAGTCGTGTCCGATAGCCCGGGGCTAGTGGATTTTGCTATCAGGCTAGTGAGTTCTGTTATTAACTTGCCCGATGGACAAGTGAAGTTTTTTGAGGAATTCAAATTACAGAAGTACTGTCAAATCAATCTGCTCATCAAAACATTTTTAGGGCTAGTTGAAATGATGTTTGGGCTAGTAAATGTTAGCTTCAGCTGTAAAAATGTCTTTCTTTGCACTCTGTCACCATACTGATAGGAATCTAAGCAAGTGCAAACTCTGCCGCCATATTTGTGCAGTATGCACTAAGCACGATGGACTAAAGAGCCACCCACCCTACAAAGGCTTCTATTGTCTTGACCCAGGGAGGCTCCCGGTCTTGATGACACTGGGGTTGAGGGGTTTGTACCAGAAAATAGAAGAAAAGTCAATGTTACTGAGAATTTGTAATTACATGCAACAACAAATGCTGAATAGAAAATAGAATACCTTATTATTTATTTGATAAAGTGCTCAACCTCAAGTAACTGCCCACCTCCAATAACCCTCCACCTTATAGGCAGAAAAAAAAATGAATTATCTCCTAACCTCGAATAAGTGCCTGCCCCATACCAGCTAGATTGAAAAAGACTAAGTTCTACTAAATTAAGAGACCAAGTTTTCTTAGTACAGTATTTTAAAGAAACTTTCAATGAACAGTTAAAAATCTGCTTTGGAACTCAAACAAAATTACTCTATCTCCAACGAAATTACTTTTGGTGAAAACTGTGAGAATTCATTAAACACCCAGCCCAAATACACGTATTAAATTGACCAACTTGAATAATAGCCCACTCTCAAGGTGCAAAACTTTAGTGAGCACCCAGGCAAGGCACTTAATCAAATAAATATGGTATTTTGTTATGGGACCTCCTCGTTGTAGCAGTACATGCAGTCACATTTTCCAGTAGGTGTAGTGCTTGATTTATAAACACACAAGCTGTTTTATAAAAACTGCATTGACAAAATAGATTTGCAATTATTGAGAATCTATTTTATACCAATACAGCATTACATTTCATTTCACCCTTCATTAATTCGGCTTTGCTTTTTCAAAAACACTGTATCTCAGCTCCAGGTTTTGTCCAAATTACCGTTAGTTAAAATTTTTTGTGCATTTGAGATAGACGATATTATTTTGAACTACTGTGCAAATTAACCTTTTAAAAAAATAATGTATGAAATAATTGTACGTATGATCTGGAGATAGTTTATCTACAGTGTATATGTAAACTGCTTTTAATAGACCTTTTTACCAATACAGCAGCCATATTGAATTAATTCGATTTAAGGAGTATTATAGGATGCCCAGGAGGCATGAGCACATTAATTTTTTTTTAGTTTGTATTTTGGAGTGCTTTTCGGGACATTTTTTCGTAATGTTTTCTTAGAATAAGATTGTAATGGGAAAAAAGAACCTTGTGTCCTGTTTGGATGTAATAATGACCGCCTTTTTCTAGTTCAGCATTAGAAATATGGTCTTTCACCGTATATTTCTCGGGAAAAAGGTGATCATGATTACATCCAAACACGGCACAAGGATCTTTTTTCCCATTAGAATCTTATTCTAAGAAAACTTTAAGAAAAAAATGTCCCGAAAAGCGCTCCAAAATACAAGCGAAATGTGCTCATGTCCCCTGGGCATCCTATAATACTCCTTAAATTGAATTAATTCAATATGGCCACCGTATCGGTAAAAAGGTCTATTAGTACCCTTATTTTGTTCGGCTGTTGATAATGATAATGTTATTGAGGACAATCACCCGTCTTTTTCCTTCAATTCCCAATTTATTTTTGTGCATGCTTCACAGCAGGTAAGTCAATGCCAGAAATTTCAAACCCATTGAATTTATTGGGTAGCAGCAAGCTACCTTAAACTTCAAGGACACTTTGGAGGATTCTTGCTGATCTCAGCAAGACTGTTCTTTGAAGTGCAGTGCCAACTCAATCCCAGAATTATTTATGTTTTTCCAGTTAAACCTCCAGTTTCTTCAGAATAGTACCCAGTGCTCCAAAACAAAAGGGTCAACTTTTACACCTTCATCTTCCACAAGTAGTATCTTCATGCCAGATGAAGATACTAGGTCTTGTTGTTCATCTCTTGTTCGATGTCCACCCTTTTGTCACAAGGACATGCAATATCAGTGATGAGGCAATTTTTGTTCTGTTGGTCAACATACACGATGTCAAGGCGATTGTGACCCAGTTTCCTTTCTGTTTATATTAGATACAGAAATCCGAAAGAAATGTGAAAGTCTTATCCTTAACATCACAATATTATTACCACTATTATTGTTGTGGTTGATGATGTTATTATAAGCATGGGTAGTAAAGAGGTTCATACACATGTACAAAAATAAACTACCTTAACCACTATTTTGAGCTCTAATTTGTGGTTATTGCTCACTTTTTTCAATGACTGTGCTTTGCAGATTTTAGTAAAACAGATGAAGGTGCGAACAGATGGTTAAGCAGACCCTGCAGCAGCTAGATGCCAGCTCCTTGGTTAATTCTTCCAAACCCCAGAGTTTAAGTAGATCCACCTACAAGCCAACCACCCTTTAGTTCACATGCATGGCCATTGTCATTTATTAGCAGTGGAGCTAGTTGTCACACCAGTACATCCTCCTCCACTGCAGCCTCCCTCCCCACATTCTCCTTTACTTTAAGGAGTGGCAGTGATGATGAACATAGGATGGAGAATGGATGGATTACTCTCTAGTTGTTGCCATTGTTTGATTAAATTTAATATCTTCACTTTGAATTCTGTTTTAATTTTTGCAAAACTTTTTTTTAGAAAAAATTGAAATGTTTTGAAATCACTCATTCTGAATATTCCAATCAACCTTGCAACTGTACCTTGTATATTTCTTTAAATGAATTGTCAACATGTCCGAACACTTTTTAGAGTTAGGTTTATCAACTGACACAACTTTGCACGTTTTCCTGTCAGAATTATCAAACTTTGTTCCTGTATTTGAACTTTAAAATAAATGATGTTACGCGATTTAAAACCTGTGTTTTTCCCTCATGCGTTGGGCAATTAGTTAAAGTGAATAAGACTGGGGCGGTGATAAAAATGGTAGAATGGTCGGAACTGTTAAAAATCATTTTCAGTATAATACTGCAACCCCACAAATAAGTCCCTGAAATGCAATGAAGTTCAATGCTGACCAGGAAACATATCGTGAGGTATCAATGGAGTGAAAAGGCGGTATCACTTTTTTCAATATCAGGCATGGAAATTGAAAGTATCGTCGAATTTAGTACAATAAACGTGTTGCAATTTTCGCGTATCAGGGAGTTTTGCCACGATTTCAACATCGGTAATTTCATCATGAACCGTGGAATTCCAGTGGTGTTTGAGTCCCTGGTATTTCACGTACCATGGAATTTCGGGGAAGAGAAAACACTCGAAACTTCACGTATCGTGGAATTTCATCGCATTCTACGGAATAGAATCTTCACGTGTCGTGAACGTTTGGAGTATAAATTAGGATAACACAATCCGTAGCGCGGAATTTTAGTGAAAATGAAAGGCAAAAATTGTAGCGTTCATCAACGGCACTCCATGATTCTCGGCAAATCTAGAAAAATAAGGACGTTTACAGGTCTTGACACGCCGCGTTTCAATGACGTGTCCGGATATCGGATATTCCATGCCGCGGAAAAAGTTCGATTCAGGAAAAATACGGGTCCTGATACTCAATGTATACGCTGCGTGTCCGGAACCCGATACCTCTCAATACTTCCGTTTTTCTCAAGAATACGGGTTCGTATCGACTAATATCGGGACCATGACACAACTCATTTCACACAGTGGAGGTTATACAGCGACTGGCACGAATATGTAAAGAGGCAGCAACAAAACACTACTGTACAGTTACACTGCAAACGAAGGCTACGAAGAGAGGGAAAACCGACTGCCGACGTTTCAACAAAATTCGGTCAATAGAATTCACAACGAAGAGGCAAGTTTAGAGTCAAAATTATCTTCTCCGATCCAACGATAGGAAGCAAGAATTAAATCCACACGAGGAGTATCTTTCCAACGGACTGAGGACAGCCGATCAGCCTTTTCACTGTTTTACAGTAAGCTTTATTTTACAATGAAGGGACATGTAGGGAAACGTTACATTTTGTAAACAAAATCCTTACTGAACAAACATTTTCGTTAAAGCTTACAACTTTCATTCAATTTCCTTCACAAGTAAAATATATGTATGTATAGCAACCTTATACATAAACACAGCTGTGCCTTTTAAGTCGAACATGACAAAAATTTGTTATTGCTGGCCCCCTACATTTGCGTTCCTATATTATTCGAAAATAACATCTGTATTTCGGATATCCTCAGAATATTAGTGTGTGACATGGTTGCAATGCCAGGAACGTTAATTCCTTTCGCTGTTAGGGAAAATTTAACAGGTCACTCATAAAATTTCACTCTTTCAAGGAAGCCAGACAGGTGACATATTCACAGAAATAAAACATCTGTCCGTTGGTAGAAGAATATTGTTTCAAGAAATTAAACGACATGCAAGCAGATAATTATTTAGGGTTTCCCATAAGATCAATCCATCCTGCACTTATCTTTACATTCACGATAAATGCATGTAATACAGGGAAAGTGTTCATTTGACTCATCTCAGTCTGAGAAATTAAAAATCTATAGCTCTGGCACTGTCTCAACAAGCTCATGCATGTTTAGAATGGAGACCAATGGAGAAACTGATCACAAACAACATGACTTGTTTGTGGACATTTCGTACAAATTCACTCTTGCATAGGGATTTGTTTCTTATGCATGTACACGAATAACTATGAACACTTGCCTAAGTGGTAAAAAATTGGTACTTTCTACATGAATTCAGTGCTTTATGGTGAATGCCCACACATTCCATAATCATAAGTCATGATCACTTTAGTAATTCTCATGAACTGCATCCTTAATGACATTGGTACTTGTAATTTTCTATTTCATTGATTATGTTTGCACTCTACTGTTACAAACAATAGTTGTCAAGTGTGATTATGTACCAAAAAAAGTGCAATCACTTTTATAGCTGTAGTTCACAGAACAAGAAATTTGTTTCTCCAATTACCAGCATTTAGTTGTTGTTTTCACTGCAGCATTATCTCCTAGCATTGCCACCTACTCACGTCTACTGACACATTTCACAATTATTGCACTTAAGGGTGAGCTGTTATTAAGGAAATACAACTGCATATTAGCTGGCAGTTATCCACTATCACCCCCATTTCCTTTTGACCATAATTACACATGTAGGAGGGTCAAATGGGGTGAACATAGGGGGATGGGACCTATGCAGCATTTGCTAACAACAGCAACCTCATTTAAATCTCAGAAGATCCTTTTAAAGCCAGAGCACTAGGTTCAAATTTAATCCACAAGAGATTAAGTACATCTCAGCTTCCAATATTAGACCCGCCCTCCCCAGTTACAGGATTTACTTCATTTCTCTCCTGTCCACCCACCTCTTAAGGGCGCCCCCACCTCCCCAGCCCCCCGAGCTTCGCAAGGTTCTGCGATGCCCGTATTTCTAGTACAATTAAGTACACCCACGATGGAACAACACGGCAAACAATTACTTTTACAGATGGAATGTACTCTTACTCTGATATCAATGATTACATCCATCAGTATATGGTTCAAAAGTCTCATCACTCAACAGACTCCAAAGGGCAAAAAACGTATTCGATTAACGTAATTTTTATTCTTTCCACATATCGAATTCTGATAACGATTGACGGCAGCTATCAACTTGATGTGAGAGGAACAGATTTTGGTGATCTCATTGGATTTGAAGAGAAACTCGTGACTAAAACTGAGTATGGAACAAAATATCCATATATCAAGCGTTCGATTGACTCATTAAACATAAACACAACAGCTAGAAAAGATAGTGTTGTAAATGGAGTAAATACAAACACAATTGCTGTTATTCCAGCTGATAATCTCACGCGTTCGTATCCATTCACATTTGAACCGCGGCGGCAATTATATTGCCCTGTGAGTTCTCATTATATTTCTGAAATGCGGATATATGTAACTGATTCAGTTGGAAATCCTGTTGATTTAAACGGTATTGATTGGTTTATGACGCTGTTACTTCGACATGCTGATTCGATCAGTGTTTAGTATAACTCTCTAAATAAAATGATAAGGCAATCCGATTTCAAAAAGAAATATGATCCTGACATGGGAAAATATACAAGACAACATATCTATGGAGAAGGAATAAGTGATTCATTCAAGTCATTTAGTTCAAAAGTACTTAGAAAAAAGACAAAGAAAACAGTTGCACCACCCGCTCCGCCTGCTAAACCTAGTAAAAAGGCTGGTTACGAAATAGTGTAAAAGGTTATCCAAAAGTAATAAACCCAAAAAAAGTTACTTTTAATAAAACTGTTAAATCAATTCCNAAAAAGACAAAGAAAACAGTTGCACCACCCGCTCCGCCTGCTAAACCTAGTAAAAAGGCTGGTTACGAAATAGTGTAAAAGGTTATCCAAAAGTAATAAACCCAAAAAAAGTTACTTTTAATAAAACTGTTAAATCAATTCCGTCTACTTCTCAACAAGATATAAATAATCGAGTACTTCAAATTATCTTTGGGGGAAAAATTATATAAACATTAAATAAAATGAAATCGTTTAGAAATCCTAAATATCTCGAGAGATATGAAGATGTTGTTTTTGACCTCGAACAAGCTATTAATGTAGCGCCAGCAAACAACACCGACCAAGCGCGAAACAATCTTAAATTTATCGCTGATAACAGCGGTGAAGTCGCTCCATTTGATTGGTATAATGCCAGAATAGCACTAGATTTTAAAGTTCAGCTACGTGATGGAACTAATTTTGCCATTGGTGCCAATGTAAATGACGCTAGTCTTACTGCTAATAGATTAGCGCAGATTATCGCATACGAAGCTGATCAAATGGGTATTGTAAACGGCGCCAATTCTTTTATTTCAAAATTATCAGTATTACCAAATGGTAAAGAGTTATATCAGTGTAGTTATGCTAATCATAGTGTAAATATAAAAATTTTACTTGAATACAAC